ATACGGCTGAAGAAGACATGTTACTGTCGAAATGGTATCAGCAAATTCGGCATGGCTTTGGTGAGTGGCCATGTGGGTGTTCAGGAATTGTTGTGGCTGGTTGGGTTTGAATATACCATCGGGCTGATAACTCAGTTGGTAGAGCGATGGGCTTGTAACCCAGAGGTCGCCGGTTCGAATCCGACTTAGTCCCAACTTTTCCTGTTCACTAAAAAATACTTTCCCACGGTGATTAACATATAAAAAAATTATAAAAATGCCATATCGTGATGATTAACATATATACGGCTGAAGAAGACATGTTACTGTCGAAATGGTATCAGCAAATTCGGCATGGCTTTGGTGAGTGGCCATGTGGGTGTTCAGGAATTGTTGTGGCTGGTTGGGTTTGAATATACCATCGGGCTGATAGCTCAGTTGGTAGAGCGATGGGCTTGTAACCCAGAGGTCGCCGGTTCGAATCCGACTTAGTCCCAACTTTTCCTTTTCACTAAAAAATACTTTCCTAAGGTGATTAACATATATATATATATATATATATATATATATATATATATATATATATATATATATATATATATATATATATATATATATATATATAGGTTAAGATTTTGGTTTACGAAACACAAACAGTGCTCAATACCATATAGATAGAGCGTAATATAGTTTTTCGTTTTACCTCAAAAAACCACAACAGTCTGTTTCATCCGTATAGGAATCATCAGGTGGTGAATAATTTCGAAATTGTACCAGTGGCGAACCTGAGGGAATTCGACTGGTCGTGCTCTAAGACCCGCACAGGCTAGGGGGGTCCGGGGGCATGCACCCCCGGGAAAATTTTGATTTTCAAAGTCTGGACTGGCCATTTCCTGCGATTTCAGGGTGAAATTCATGCAAAGAAAGCTACAAAAAAAGTGTGATATAAAGAGGAAAATTCTTAATACTTCTTGTTTTTGAAATTTGTATTTCCACAAAATTTAATTTTATTTCACTATATATTTAAACTTATCTGCAAATGTCGCTCAATATAGCCAATATTGGCAGAAGAAAGAGGAGAATATTGTATGACTGTGTACATTTTAATACCCTGCTGAGTGCTGTAATATGATCTTTCATTTGGAATTGCGTAAAGGTCAACTGTAATGTACTATAGCTACAAGGACCTTGTGAACCTGAAGCAGAAACCTAATGTTGAAAGATACACTGTTTAGATATTTGGTATATCTGTAATATCTGTAAACCTCCAATTATATAAGCACTTTTGAATAAAGCAAACGAACTGGTAGTTAATATATTTATATCAATAGGAAAGGTTGTTTATATTCGCCATTATAATACAGTAGAATACACAATCGAGTCTGTTCACATGCATTTCGTGAGCTAAAATATCTTGTTAGAAGCCAGAAATATTCTATCCAAATCAACATGGCATTCCTACTATTCACTCGATTGACGTTGGTCAATTTCCATAGATACATAACCAAGATCACTTGAATAAATCTCGACAGAATTGCTGAATAATTTACGGCATTTAACTTGGTCGTGCTTTCGAAGATGAGCACGACCAGAAGATAAAATTCGGCGAGATACGCATGCGCGAGGAGCAATTTAGCCAATAGAATGCTTTGGAATTTATAATTTAGTCGTGCTGGCCTGACGAGAGCACGACTAACGGGCGGATTACCCATTAGTCGTGCTATTAACCCGCGGTCGGGTGAAACTACGCAATCATACCTTGAATTGGTTTAAAATCAGGGCAAAATCACCGGATTTGAAAGGATTTCGCACTTAATAGATGACGCAAGTGTACGATGAATCATTTTTAAAATTTTGGGGGGATTTTTTTTAAGACTAAAAAATTAATTTCTTTGAAAAAATTTTACTCGTGCTCAGCACGACCAGCACGACCTCTAGCTTCGCCACTGGACTGTTAACACTCTTACTAAATGGTGGGTTGAACCAAATTATGTTGCGTTGCCTATTCCTACGTGTCCGTTGCGGTGCATTCACAGTGTACGTAAATTCATGATCAAAGTTACTATGTCTAAGAGCGTTCTGGTAAATAGGTGTGGATTCCTTAAATGTTTGTTCGTCCGATGAGAGAAGTGCAATGCGTTTGTTGATAGCTGTAGGTAATTGTCTTGTAATGCTTGGTGGATGGTTTGAGTGTCTGTGGATGTACAATGGATCGTCATTAGGTTTCCTGTATGGTTTGTGTTTTGCGTTGATCAGGTCGAAAGTAACATCTAAAAAATTTACAACGTTCATATTTACTTCGGCGGTGATTTTAAGGTCGAATTGCAAATCTCAGAGGTGAAAGGCGCTTCCTCTGACGCCTGCGCCATCAAAGCCCGAATATTACTAGCATTAACAAAGAAACTTAGATAAAAATGAAAACGCTCTTGATAAATACGATTTTCCACCTCCCTCCATAGTTTTAAGAAATAGTCCAAAAAGTCACAGTCCCCCCCTCCCAACACTAATGCATGCATGTATGACTTTAACAATTAGGCCTAGGGTAACTAGGTAACTTTAGCCAATCGCTTTTTAGTGGTTGTGACCTTAAAAAGTAATAATTTAAGTTTTTTATACGCTATTCTTCTTCTCGTCCTTTTTTACGCAATTCCGCGTTTTATCCTCATTTGCGGAATCCGCGTTTTATCCTCAAATGCGGAATCCGCGTTTTATCCTCAAATGCGGAATCCGCATCCGGAATCCGCTTACGGAATCCGCACTCCGGTTCCGCGTTTTATCCCAACCCCCTTAATTACAATGCGTACAACACCTAGCAATCCGACAAAAACCATGCATGTTTAAAACACCTAGTAATCCGACACAAAGTTCATATTAATCTGTTCCCAACAAGCGTTATATGTCTTGCGTATAAGTCGTAATTTTAGCTACTTTGAATTGATTTTTGCTCTATTTGCACCCGGAGAAAACTCACGACTTTTGGCGGAGCGTTGACAGACTCTTTTCACATCGAATCCGTAGCGAGAATCGAACCCACGATCTCAGAGGTGAAAGGTGCTTCCTCTGACGCCTGCGCCATCGAAGCCCGAATATTACTAGCATTAACAAAGAAACTTAGATAAAAATGAAGACGCTCTTGATAAATACGATTTTCCACCTCCCTCCATAATTTTATAGAAATAGTCCAAAAAGTCACAGTCCCCCCCCCCCACCACCCCCTCCCAACACTAATGCATGCATGTATGACTTCAACAGTTAGGCCTAGGGTAACTAGGTAACTTTAGCCAATCGCTTTTTAGTGGTTGTGACCTTAAAAAGTAATAATTTAAGTTTTTTATACGCTATTCTTCTTCTCGTCCTTTTTTACGCAATTCCGCGTTTTATCCTCATTTGCGGAATCCGCTTCCGGAATCCGCGTTTTATCCTCATTTGCGGAATCCGCATCCGGAATCCGCGTTTTATCCTCAAATGCGGAATCCGCATCCGGAATCCGCATTCCGCGTTTTATCCCAACCCTTCACGGTGTCACTAACGCTGAAGTTAAGCCGTTAAGGGCATGTCCAAAGCAGTGTGTAAACAGAAGTGTCTTAATCATAACCATTTTGGCCTCCAAGCTAAAACTTTATCTATAATATTGGCGCAAAGTCTAACACCTCAAAACATTTTTTGTTGCTCCGGAAAGTGGACAGGACCAACCGGACCGGTGGCTACGGTCCTCAAATAAGAACCTTTGTCATTAGTAGGAACCTTTTTTGCTAAGTTTGAGAGGTTTTAGGAATACAATTTTCTCTCATGTAAAAGCCGGATGCAGAACGTCTTGCATAACACCAGATTAGTAAGTTAAATAATCAGATAATCTATAGTGTAAATACCTATTTTAAATTTAAAAACATAGAAAACCCAAATCCAAGTATTCCGAAGGCTGAGGCAGATAACATAAACAGATGCCTTAATAATTCCTCATATCCGGCGAGAACCGAATTCAATAATTATTTTATTATTTATTTGCAAATATTTCGGACTCAAGAAGACGCCAAGCTGTTGAAAATGGAAATTTGTATTTTCCTGCTTTTGGCACAATTAGCATAAATTAGCGTGACGTCCATAGCGTGTTACATTGTTTTTCGATATATATATTTTTTCGATATATAATTTTCGTGGACGTAAAACATTACGTCCACGAAAATTTTAACTCGCTCACGCCATCCTGGCTAGTACAACCGGAAGTTTTTATCAGGTTTTGGTAGGTGCAAAGTGCTGGTTGTACTAGCCAGGATGGCGTGATTGATGACGAATCGCTTGTAAAAACGCGGACAAATACTTGCTTGAGTTACACTTCTGCTGTACCTTCTTATTCTATGCCCAGGATTTACCTTCTTCAATCTTCACAAACTAGAAATGCCCACGGTTTTAAATTATTAATATTTCATTGCTCATTTGTTATAATAAAACGAAAAGCGTAGCCGGCTCACAGCTCCAATTACGCTTGTACATTGAATTTTGGTTCAAGGAAGGTGTTCCAAGAAACATAAATGAAGAAAAAATGTCATTAAAAAGTTACCAGAACCACAGGAAAACCACAAGAGCCAGGAAATCCACAAGAACCAAGACAATAAAATGAATCACGAGAACAACCCCATGAACCACGAGAACCACCATATGAACCACCATATGAACCAAGAGAACCACATGAACCACCATATGAACCAAGAGAATCACGTGAACCAAGACAACCACATGAGGCAAGAGAACCACATGGGCCAAGAGAACCACCATATGAACCAAGAGAACCACATGAACCACCATATGAACCAAGAGAATCACGTGAACCAAGACAACCACATGAGGCAAGAGAACCACATGGGCCAAGAGAACCACCATATGAACCAAGAGAACCACATGAACCACCATATGAACCAAGAGAATCACGTGAACCAAGACAACCACATGAGGCAAGAGAACCACATGGGCCAAGAGAACCACCATATGAACCAAGAGAACCACATGAGCCAAGAGAACCACGTGAACAAAGAAAACCACCATATGAACCAAGAGAACCACATGAACCAAGAGAACCACCACATGAACAAAGAGAACCATGTGAACCAAGAGAACCACATGAACCAAGAGAACCACATGAATCAAGAGAACCACATCAGCCAAGAGAACCACATCAGCCAAGAGAACCACATGAACCAAGAGAACCACATGAACCAAGAGAACCACCACATGAACAAAGAGAACCATGTGAACCAAGAGAACCACATGAACCAAGAGAACCACATGAATCAAGAGAACCACATCAGCCAAGAGAACCACATCAGCCAAGAGAACCACATCAGCAAAGAGAACCACATCAGCCAAGAGAACCACATGAACCAAATGAACCAAGAGAACCACATGAGCCAAGAGAACCACATGAGCCAAGAGAACCACATGAACCAAAAGAACCACATGAACCAAGAGAACCACATGAGCCAAGAGAACCACATGAACCAAGAGAATCACATGAACCAAGAGAACCACATGAACCAAGAGAACCACATGAGCCAAGAGAACCACATGAATCAAGAGAACCACATGAGCCAAGAGAACCACATGAGCCAAGAGAACCACATGAACCAAGAGAACCACATGAACCAAGAGAACCACATGAACCAAGAGAACCACATGAATCAAGAGAACCACATGAACCAAGAGAACCACATGAGCCAAGAGAACCACATGAACCAAGAGAACCACATGAACCAAGAGAACCACATGAACCAAGAGAACCACATGAGCCAAGAGAACCACATGAGCCAAGAGAACCACATGAATCAAGAGAACCACATGAGCCAAGAGAACCACATGAACCAAAAGAACCACATGAACCAAGAGAACCACATGAGCCAAGAGAACCACATGAACCAAGAGAACCACATGAACCAAGAGAACCACATGAACCAAGAGAACCACATGAGCCAAGAGAACCACATGAACCAAGAGAACCACATGAGCCAAGAGAACCACATGAGCCAAGAGAACCACATGAACCAAAAGAACCACATGAACCAAGAGAACCACATGAGCCAAGAGAACCACATGAGCCAAGAGAACCACATGAACCAAGAGAACCACATGAACCAAGAGAACCACATGAACCAAGAGAACCACATGAATCAAGAGAACCACATGAATCAAGAGAACCACATGAACAAAGAGAACCACATGAACCAAGAGAACCACATGAGCCAAGAGAACCACATGAACCATGAGAACCACATGGACCAAGAGAACCACATGAACCAAGAGAACCACATGAGCCACGAGAATCACATGAACCAAGAGAACCACATGAATCAAGAGAACCGCATGACCCATGAGAATCACATGAGCCAAGAGAACCACATGAACCAAGAGAACCACATGAACCAAGAGAACCACATGAATCAAGAGAACCACATGAACCAAGAGAACCACATGAGCCATAAGAACCACATGAACAAAGAAAACCACAAGAGCCAAGAAACCAAAACCCACATGAATCAAGAGAACCACATGAGCCATGAGAACCACATGAGCCATGAGAATCACATGAACCAAGAGAACAACAAGAAGAGAACCACATGAGCCAAGAGAACCACATGAGCCAAGAGAACCACAAGAGCTAAGAGAACAACAAGAGCTAAGAGAACCACAGTAGACAAAAGAACCACATGAACCAAGAGAACCACAAGAGCCAAGAGAACCACAAGAAGTTAGAGAACCATGCGAACCGAAAAATCACAAGAACCGAAAGAAGCCGAAGAATCATATTGGAATGCCGCCGTAAAGGCGCCTAATATTCAATTCGTGCTTTGCAGGAACAAATTGAACACATATTTTCTCTTCTGTTCTAAGATTGGTTTGAGTGAATGATTTAAAATTTATTGTCAGTTGTTTTGAAAGTTGCGTTGCTATCCTACTTTCTCCCTACTATATGAAAGGATACAACACCCATTTAAGAGGAAACAATCTAGTTAATGTGAATATTTATTATAAAAAGCAGTACTGCAGATAGTATTTCAAGACTACTTAAAAAACAATTCTTGGGTTTCATATGACGTCACAAAAGTGACGGGGGGGCAACTCTAAAACAAAACAGAGTTATCAGAGTGAGTCGATTGTTCGTTTTATGTATTAGCCTTGTGTTTGGTGGCAAATACATGGAATTTCGTATCATTTTCTTACTCCAGTACAGCATAAGCATCAATACATTTGAGGTTGACCCCCCGTCAGATTCACTACATGCCGTAGTGAAACCCAAGAATACAGTAAATTCATATTTGACCAAGGGTGGGTAGTAGCGAAGTAGTTGTAGTTCGCTACTGTAGCGAACTACAATTTTCAAGTAGCCAGTAGTTTTTGACTACTTTTTTAAAACAGTAGTTGTAGTTATAGCGAACTACATTTTGCCTAAAAGTAGCCAAGTAGTTGACTACTTTTCAAACAGCGAATCGCTACTTTTTAAAATATGTTAGCAACCGTTCATAGAATAGAATGATATTAAGAAACGGTTTGCTTAAAAGATTATTTTATACAGTAAAGATTATTTTAGCGCAATGAAAAGTGGCACTCCTGAACACTGTAATGTGCTTACAAAAATGTTGCTTTGACCCTTTTTGTTTACTGTTGCTACTCGTAAGGCGATTTGTTATAGGTTATACTACAGCCTGAGCTAGTGGATGCTCCAAATACCGTAAAACTAAAATATATAGAGTAGCGAAATAGCGAAATATTCGCTACATTTTTTAAGCAGTAGCTGTAGTCAGTAGCGAACTACCTTTGTTCAAAAGTAGCAGTAGTTGTAGCTGACTACATATTTTTGAAGTAGCTGTAGTTATAGCGAACTACAAAAATTTTGTAGTCAACCCACCCTTGTATTTGACAAAAGCCAAGACATATCATGCTGCAACATGTATATTGAAGTTAATATTGTCGTTTCAAAATCTATGTGCGACCAAATTGTCACATATACCCAATAATACAACAGTTTTTAAGTTTAGCGTGCGTTATTCACAAATAATTGGGGCTTGTGTTTTTATCAAAATTGGGTCAAATTTTGACCAATTGTGGAACGTGAATGCTAAATCAGTCAACTTGTTAAACCACAGGTTAAACCAGGAAAACGCACTCACTTCATTCAAAATTATTATTAAACTGTTGTTGTTTTGATCAAATCCTTTGCAAGTACATTTTTTAAAAAGTGAAATGATACCTGTACAAAAGTGTGTGCGGTACCTATAAGTTTTCGTTCCGTAATATATAACTCTCTGTCTACACCTTTCTAACTAAAATGTTTAGTGATCGAACAAACTTGTACGGGTAGCACTACTAATCCTGGGTTAAATTGAACACACTGTTTTGTCTATTCCTGCAGATCCCTTAATTTCAAAACTGTAGAACGTTGTTTCAAACATTTCATTGTGAACATGCTGTTGGGAAAAATGCTTTAACATTTTTGTTAACCCTATAGATTAAGCCTGCTTTCGAACAAACACTCAGTGATTCTCGTGTATCTTTTGGTGGAGTTTCAATTATCATATCAAATAAATACACGTCCATGCATTTCCTCGTATAAATGATAGGAAGGTAACACCTTCAGAAAACAAACTGATTATTCTGCTTCAATTACAGATTTATAGTTCGGCTATAATCTGGGAAAAGTGCTTGAGTGCATAATACTAAGCCCAATCACTTTTTAATGCGGTTACATGATTATATGACATTCGCAACAAATGTTTAGATTCTACTTGAGAAATTGAAGAAAGACCTGTAGCTACTGCTGTCAACACATGCCCATATTTCGTGCAAAAATTTAGTTTTTATCATATTTCTCGGCCTGAAGAACACAGTCATGTAAAAATACAACATTTTTAACGTATCTTGTAACCTTAAATCTATGTCAACACAACTGGGGCCGGTTGTTCAAAAGCCGATTAACGCTATAACCTAGGGTTAAATTGGCTTAACCTATAGGGTTAAATTTTAACCCTAGGTTACTTTGTGTTGTTCAAAGCTAGTTTATCCTTAACCCTCGGTTAAAACAAGGGTTAAATTTAACCCTCCTTGCTAGGTGGGTTAACTTGCTAATCGGCCGGTTAACTCGTATTCAAAATGGACGTCGAAGGAGTGAAAAAAGAAAACATGTAAAACTCTTGGTGAAACAAACAGTATACAAAGATTTTATGGAGGAAAATCAACCTCAAAAAGTAAATTCTAAGTCTATAAATACTATTAAGATTCTTATTCGTCTCGTATCAGCCTTTGAAATGATTTTATACCTACAAGTTAGCTTTGAATTTATATACGAGCATTAAAGTAAAAGATACGGCAACATTCTGGCCATTTTGGGGTGATAGGCCTATGGTCTAAGCATGGACATCATAATTTACTGTTTTATTGTGTTTTAATACTGTGGAAAAATACCTTATAAATTTACAGCTACGTCTGCCGGTTTTCAAAATATAATTTGGTACACAAATGTCTTAATCAAGATTGTGTACACTGTACAGTAAAAGGATTCACCTCACAAGATCTTTGTCGCTTGCCGCCACCAAAACTGTAGACTGTAGTTTTATTAAAGCCGAGCATTCAACTCAAGTTTCTTCGAAAAATAACTCTAGAAAAAATACTTGTATTGCCAAACATTTCGCCGTACCACAACCTGTTTCACAAAATTTCCATTTGCCATTTGTTGAACAGTCAAAAGTTCTTGCACATCTACTGTTTGCAGCGCAGTGTATTACCTAGTAAAAACACTATTTTTGAAAGCTGTAAAACAACTTCACTCAGTTCGCTGCTTCTTTTTCTGTTTTCGTGTTCTGTTTTTATATAGCCACGCCTGCGTTGAAAATGCTTTTCAACTCCAAAATAATTCGAAGTTCATTTGATTGGCTGGGATTTTGTTCTCAAATTTAATTATTCAAGCACTGCCTAAAATTCCAAAATTGATTTATTTAAATGGCTTTGCCGCTTTGATCAAGTATATTTTTTTTCTTGAAACTTTCAAAATGTTTAAATTCTTGTCTGAAATGTTCAATTTCAGTTGCCTATTGCTTGTTAAACAATATTTCTGCCATCTACCTCTTCTATCCCTAGTTTTGACACTTACTTTCCAGCCAATCAAAAACGTTCTTACATTACATTTATTTTTAAAACAAATTTAACCTTGGGTTAAACGTCTTAACCCTGGGTTAACTAACCGCACCTCTAAACCAGCTTTGAACAACGTAGTTTTAACTCGGGGTTAACTAACCCTGGGTTAGGGATTTTAATCCAGGGTTAGCGCTAATCCTGGGTTAAAGTTAACCGGCTTTTGAACAACCGGCCCCAGGTAATATATAAAACTTCACTCTATTGTTTAGATAGAGTACCAAAATGATCATACACATTAATGTGCTCTCTCTTCATCAATCACCTGAACGGATGTCGCGTTCCCACTGGATTCGTCTCCTTCGTGAATCTTCCAATGCAATTTTAACTGTTTTAAGAGAGTAAACACCTGCGCACAGACATCACATTTGTACGACTTTTCCCTCTTATCCATGGTTTGTTCATGTTGTTTCAGGTTGCTTGATTTAGGAAAGTTCATTCCACAAACGGTGCATTTATAAGGATTCTGTCCAATATGGCCATGTTCATGTTGTTTCAACTCACTTGAGGTCATGAATTCTTGTTCACAAAAATCACATGCAAAAGCCGTTACACCAGGGTGATATTTGAGCACATGTCTAACCAATGTTTGACCAGATTCGAATGCTTTGATACAAACTTTGCACTTATATGGCCTAACACCTATTTTTTCAATCTTACACATTTGCATATGTGATATAAGGTCTCCATAATTTAGGAACTGTTTGTCACATAATTTACACTTGCAAGAGATATCTCCTTTATGAGTGTTCTCATGATGACGTACGTGAGATTTCTTGGAAAACATTGTTTCACAAGTTGAACACACGTGGGTCTTGTCTTTGAAATGTACCTCAACATGATGGAGTAGAAGAGTAGGTTTGGGGAAAGACTTTTCACAAATACCACAGTTGTATGGCATTTTTTCATTATGACTTTCCTTGTGTTCCTCAAACGGTCTGGGCTTAAAGAACATCTCAAAACAATATTCACACTGCTTTCCAGCATGCCACATTTCGTGAGCTTCTAAGGATTGCTTCTTGGAAAATTGTTTATCACAACTTCTACATTTAAATGTATGTGTTTTCTTGTGCTTCTCTAAATCTTCTCGATTAAAGAACTTCTCAGAACAGTGTTCGCACTCTTTGCCAGCATGCCACATTACGTGAGCATCTAGAACATGCTTCTTCGTAAATTGTTCACCACAGGTTTCACACTTAAACGGTTTAAAATGTATTTTCTCATGCTTGTGCAAAAGGGATAACAGGACGAACCTTTTATTACATGTTTTGCATTCAAACGGCTTTTCTGATTCAGAATGAGTTTGTATATGGTGTTGCCACGATCCCTTAAATTTAAACTTTCTTTCACAAAAAGGGCATTTATGTGGATATTCATCAGTATGTACTATCTTATGCTTTCGTAAGTCCTTTATTCTTGCATATGATTTCTCACATTCGTCACATTGGAAAGGTTTATCTTTGAAGTGAGTTGGTTTATGGTTAGCCAATTCGCATGACATAACAAATGATTTGGGACAGAGATTACATTGGTAACGTTTATCCCCTGTATGTCGTCGTTTATGAATAACAAGATAGCCAGATGTTGTAAATGCTTTGCCACAGATATCACATTGGTAACATCGATGAGTAGATAAATCTTGTGATGTACAAAATCTCGCTTTACAAATATCACAATTACATTCTACAGAACCATTTTTATGAGTAGCTAAATCATCTGGTGTAAAAAAACGTTTGTTGCAGACATCACAAATGTATTCTCCTTTCCTTTCTCCTTTCTCCTTGTGGGTTTTTTTGTGCAGTAGTAAAGCAGAAGGAGAAGCTGTAGCCTTCCCACATATATCACACATGTGTGCCGATACTCCCGTGTGTTTAATTTCATGTATTTTCAGAATTTGTTTAGTTGCAAATGCTGTATTACACATGTTACAAACAAAAGGCCGTTCTCCACTATGTTGTCTTTCATGAATAATTAAAGAACCTCGAGATTTTTCAGGCTTTCCACAAGAACCACACTTAAAACGGGACTCTCCAGTGTGTTGCATTTGATGTTCTTTCAGCCACTGCTTGCTTCGAAATGCTTTATTACACACGCTACAAACAAAAGGACGTTCTCCACTATGCTTTCTTTTATGGACCACCAATGAAAATCGCGCGGAAAACGTTTTTTCGCAAATATTACATTTGTGAGGTATTTTATTGTGCTTCATTTTGTGCATATTGAGAATTGATTTCGCTGGAAATGATCTGTTACACTGGTCACACTTGTAAGGCTTCTCAATATGAATTTTCCTGTGAGCTGACAATTTGTAACGTGACGGGAATGATTTGTTGCAAACATCACATATGTACTTCTCTGTTTCCTTTTTCTTTCCACGTCGTCCTGGAGGTTTGGATTTAGAATTCTCTTCATCACTTTCGAAAATGTCATCAGTATTTTCTGTATTATGGACTCTATGAATGTGCTGTGTTAATGACCTTTCACTTCCAAATGATCTGTCACAAGGATCACATCTAAGATTTCTCACTTCCATGAGGTGGTGGTGATATATGGTTGGTGTGCCCTAGGTGGAGAAATAGTCAATATTGGTAGATTCTGGATAGTTCTAAGGGTCAGAACTGTGCGGTTCCAGAAATTCATCTCGGTTCCGGTCTTATGGGAGGTAGAAAAACCTCGGTTCGTTGTCAGTTTCAGTATTTTCAAGAGAAAAACAATTTAAAGCATTTGCTTAATAAATTGTAATATAACATAAAAAAACCCAACTTATAGACCTTATTCATCAATCGCAATCGGGGCCTCGTATGCTAGGCATGGGAATAAACGCGGGAAAACAATTCAGAAACCATTGTGTCGACCTTAACGGCTTGTTTCTTATTTCGATTTAAATATTTTAAGATTTTGTATTTTACGATTTTGTACACAGCGAAAGCTATAAACGAGTATATCATATAACAAATGTACTTGCAGAGAGGTACATCCGGGATTGACGCACACTAGCTCGCGCTTCGCTCGGTAGGTTCGGGGAACTACCTGCCCCCCAAGGTGCATCAGTCCCGGACGCACCGTATCTGCATGCAAGTACGTTTGGTTTTTATCCCATACACATTGCGAAACTGATCTTTTTTGTTGTTTCGGGACAGCCGCTCTTTGCGATATATTCGTCGATGTATTGTCAATATTTTCTCGGCCAAAAAAATCATTAGGCTCTTAATATTTCTTTATCAAACTAAAACAAAACAAAGGTTTCCTTTTCCGATTGACTCCAGCATCTTTGACGTTAATTAGCAAACTAGGAAACATTGTTGCGGAAACATTGTTTCCTACAAATGTTTCGCCATGTTTCCAAGAGTGGACAAACACTAGGAAACATTAGTGGGAAACATCAAATGTTTCTGAATTCGCTAGGAAACATTTTTGCTTCTCGGGAAGCAAATTTTGTTTCCGCAACAATGTTTCCACGGGTGGGCAAACAGGAAAACATTTGAGGAAACATCGAGAATCACAAATGTTTCCACAACAATGTTTCCTAGTTTGCCCAGGGCTTTAAAATATCACGTTATATTTTCTCATTTCAAATTTCATGCTCAGTTTCCATTTATAGATAAATTTTCGTTTTTGTGGTATAATATTCTTTTATATATAGATTCTATTTTTCTTCCGTATGTAATTGTTAATTTTGGAGATAACTTAGATAGGGATAACCTCATTATCTCCATTTCACATGGTTATTATGTATGTGAATAAATTATTATTATTTGTGGTTACTCTAGTGTGGGTCAGTTAAACTATGGGAAATGACCAGCATGCTTTGCACGCATTGTTTGCCTGCGAATCGGGCCTTTCAAACACAGAGATTGGGCTAGAATACGCGTTCGTTGTTTTGATTTGGCAAATGAAGCACGACAGATGGCAAAATTCACACGGTGCTCGTTTGCAAAAACAACTGCAAACTGCTCTAATTCTTTCTGTCACTTTCATTATTTGATCTCATCTGTGAGTCAGCCTGACGACCTTTGATTACTCAATATTTTTAATTACTCCTGCAATTGACACGAGGCGATTGCGATTTATGAATAAGGTCTATATATAACAAGTTAAATGAAACAAAAAAAAACTCCAATGATTATGGGATAGACTTGAGAAATGAATATATAATGGTAATTGAACTTCGTGTCGTGTAATTTGGGCTGAAATCAAATGCGTGATTGGGGGGATGTGTGGCAGGATTGCCCTG